AATGCGTTGAAAGTGAACGTTAGTCAGTTGGCCTCGAGCGGTTAACAGCAACAGAAAAAAAGGACGTACTGATTGCTTGAGAATTACCGGAGACAGCATCGGAGTCAGAATAAACGGGTTTAAACTTTGAGACAGGATTATTTATAAACGACCTTTGGCCGTCTTCGCGCATGTCATTTTTCTGTTGCCACACTTCCTTTTGGGGCTTTGAAACTCTTTTTTGGATTTTTTGACTCAAATTTGGGCGCGCATCTAATTTGGATTACAAAACGGTAGACATCGGTGACAAATCTCACTACAGTATCAGTGAATGGCTAAGACTAGCTTGACCCTTGATTGCTTTCTAAGTAGGTTTTTTGTTTCTACCTCGAACTTCGCAAAAGTAAGCAATATTATCTTCTGGGACGCCCAGTTAATCAGATACTGAAGTAACCGATATTCCGGGAGGAGGTCTTACAGGTAACAAAGTACCGCGGAGATAATTCGAAACATCCTCCAGCCCCTGGAGTAAGGTGATACCTTGTTTAAGATTACAAAAGTGGCTGTTTCCCGTTTGTTCACTTCCCATAAACTTCATTAGGTCTCCTGTAGTATCTAGACTCTGCCAGTTTTCAAAATGGAGAAAAATATTTAATCCATCCCAGCCATCTCACCTTTGAGTTCCCGCCACGGGACCAGGTAATCCTCTGAGGAAAGTCAATTTACGAGTGTTTGTTTTGATAAAAAAAAATCAAATTTGCTCCCAAAAACGTTTTGAGACAACGGACTCTTGGAAAGCAGACAGCTGATTCAGAATGTATCCCTGAAAATTTCGAAATCGAGACGAATTGCGCAAGATTTTTAGTATACGATCCCCCAGGTTTTCATTCGACGAGTCTAGCTAAACATTCCTGCCTCATAGGATGAAGTAGCTCACTGATAGATGTAGGTGATACCTAGAATCTTTTTATTTGGCTGCCCAGTATGTTACATCGCTCGTCACTATAACTGTGGTATTTGTCATGCAGACTTCACCGCAAATGGGTTGTACCTCGTTTCGGAAATAATGTTCTATGCATTTGGTTTTTGCACAGTTATTCACTGAGCATTCCTAATCAATCTTTCCTGATCGATTCCTATTTGACCCACTTATTTTCTGCACGTTGAAAAGTGGATTTCCAGCTGACCACTCAAAAACATAAAAACATATACGAGGGTTCAGCTTCCGAGATCATTCAGATAGAACATCCTAAAGCGTTCTAGAAGTTAAAACAAAACCCTGAAGCAGAAGAAACCTGAACCAAGGTTATTGCGCAAAACGAGAAGTAGAATATTAAAAGGGAAAGTCGCGGGAACTATCGTCCTAACTTTTGTTATGCTTCACGAGATAGTCCAGTGAACGGTCCAGCTCAGGTTCCTCAAGATGGATTACTCAGTAGTGCATATAACAAACACAGTTGCAAGTCAAGCATCTGATGTGTGAAGAGGTATAATGCCCATACTTATAAAAGTTTATATCTTTTTGACAATAGGATATTGGTTTTTAACAAAGACTTCCTCACCAACGCCGCCAACTTTGTCATCAAACAAACACTGAGCTCTACGAATGGCGGGATTGTTATTAGACGGACTTGAAAATCTTTCCGCTGTCACGAACTACCCGCTCATAAATCCGACGAACGTGTCAATGTACGTGACAGGATATAAAATGCTAACCTAATGTCCCTGCTGATCTCGTTCAGTCACATAAGGGTGGTGGCGTAATTTATGTTGAGTCTTACTTAGGAAGCATCACTTTTTTTTTATGGTTACCATGGTTCCATGATCCAAAGGTTTTTTCTTCTGGTATAGGATCTTGATGGATTTAAAAGAAGAAGTGGCCCCAAGGGATGTTTAATCTCTAGCGTGAAACCAGATAGGTTGTAGCTTCCTCGAACTCTCCTAATTTCTGGTTGTTTTTAAGTTTTTAGACCCTCAGAAAGTTCTAACATTGGGAGTCACTGTATTTGGGTCAGACGACAGCAGAATTGATACAACACCGAAAGTCTAGAGGTCCAGATTCGTTTATGAACTTCAGTCAATGTTTTATCTACTAGACACCTAAGTAAACACCGACTCAGGTTATCTCAACTTGAAAACGAAGCAGTTTCACGGTAGGCTGATTACAACTCACCTCAGTTAGCCAGAGTTAACATTCTTCTGGGAATAGATTTGTGATTTGAGCGTCAGTCATAGAAGCTGGCGGTAAAAACTAAACCCGTAATCGCTGACTGTGCAAATTATGATGCCTAGCTTATGGTTTTGCACTATATTTCTGTCTTCATTTTGGCTCAAGGGTTCTACTGTTTTCTGGTTGTAACCCCAAGTATTTGATACCACTTTCATAGTCGTTGGTGCTTACCGGGCCCCTAATATTAATTTTCACCATTGTTTTTCTTCTCTGAGTTATAATCTACTATATGTTGAGTTATTCCGCACACGGAGAGGTCAGAATCACTGTACAACTGAGATACAATGCTCTTTCTATAGAACGGCGCCTTATTACAGCGATCATGTCTTAATAATGACGATTTGTAGAGAATCGGACCAATTTAGTAAAAATTGTGTATTGTTTCGATGATGGCTCACCCAGTCACTTCACTGAACACTTTCAACACGTGACATCGTTTAAACCACTGTGAACTCTATGTGCATCAATCAATATTACAGCAAGATCCCCAGTTTTGTTTCTACTAGTTAACCTATTGACACTCATATGTAAATCAAATCGCCAATTCACATATAGCTGCTGAAATACCTAACGCTTTGTATATATTAGAAACGCAATTCGGTCATACATGTTCAGAATTTGTTTGACTTCTAAATATCAGGCTCGATCTAGTAAATCCTCAACTTCAGGTAGACATACAGCTGTTAGACAAACACAAGTATGGTCTCCTCACCCGGTATACCAGACATAATTACGATTGCATAAAAACCATATAGGTAAGCTCGATAGCCGTGAGCCAGCCAGGTACAACAGTCCTGTCTACCGATACCCGTCTAGTTCTGCTCACGATCAAGTCACCCCAGAAGTAGGCTGACACTCGTCACTTGATACTCGTGTTTTGCAGGAATAGATTGCTTTGATGTTAACTGTATATACCATACGTCGGTAAACTACAGGTTTTTTGAAGAGGTCAACCCTTGAGAAAATGATTCACAGTGGCTTGTTCAATCGGCCGTTGAGATAGTTCCAAGATCAATGCTGCGCCAATATTTTTATGTTGTCCATGGATATTGGACAGGTGAATGCAGCAGATTGCTGTCAAACTTCAGCGGTATTGTCATCATCAAGACTAGGGTTTATTAAACCGTAAGGAAATTCACCAACCGTGGTGAGGGCAAGACGGTTACCACTTCCCGTCTTAACGACCGTCCTCCTTAAAGTGACCGAGTTGGTTATTCGTTTAGACTGGTCAGTCTGAGAAAAGTTTTTGATGTTGATACAATGATACCTATGTACACAACCAATATGAAGTGTAAACATCAGCTGATAACTGAATGCTATCAACGGATCCTGAACCAGTACATTCCTTGCAGCTGTTTATCTGAAGACTTCGAGTAAGTTTCAGTCTGTATGACTAATTGTGCCATCACTTCTAACTTTCCATTTGAAATTATTCATCTTTATATCCACCTATCTTGCAGTTCCACTGTTTTGCCTCAGCTTGTCTGCTCCTTGTGCAAACGTCTGACTAAACAACCACTTTGAAACAGTCAGCAATTAGCAGTACTCCTCTGCGTTATTCGCCGTAAAGTTAGCATCCCTCTGAAGATTCAGTGACGTTTTCAGTAATATACTCAGTATGTGACCGGTATGCATCAAGTAGCACATTGTTATCCCAACGGTATGATAGCTCAGTTAATGTTTATTGGAAAATAGTAACCAATCTCAAGGCGAAACCATGAGTACGAAGGCCATTTACTCCTCTTCAGGATCGCCATTCTGCAGTAAGATTGTACACTAGATCTTGCTTGAAGATGGTATGCTCTCTTGACCTCCAAAAAGGAGGTATCCGTCCTTCTGAGTGGCACCCTTCAATAGGGTGCTGTAAAATGTCCTAAGTTGAATAACACCACTGAGGATATGTGAACTGAGCTAGTCCTGAGTGTGGCAGTAGCTGTACGTTTCAAAACGGGATAACACAATGCAGGTTTTCTTTGCGCGATTCTTTAAGCTGACAGGAAAAACAAGTGCTACTTGGTGAGAATCTTCGGAGTGCAAAGAGATGGCCTTATTCACCTACCTATTTACTTGCCTACTTGCTCTTACAATTACCTCTTTACCTACCTACTTACTTACTTACTTACTTACTTACTTACTTACTTACTTACTTACTTACTTACTTACTTACTTACTTACTTACTTACTTACTTACTTACTTACTTACTTACTTACTTACTTACTTACTTACTTACTTACTTACTTACTTACTTACTTACTTACTTACTTACTTACTTACTTACTTACTTACTTACTTACTTACTTACTTACTTACTTACTTACTTACTTACTTACTTACTTACTTACTTACTTACTTACTTACTTACTTACTTACTTACTTACTTACTTACTTACTTACTTACTTACTTACTTACTTACTTACTTACTTACTTACTTACTTACTTACTTACTTACTTACTTACTTACTTACTTACTTACTTACTTACTTACTTACTTACTTACTTACTTACTTACTTACTTACTTACTTACTTACTTACTTACTTACTTACTTACTTACTTACTTACTTACTTACTTACTTACTTACTTACTTACTTACTTACTTACTTACTTACTTACTTACTTACTTACTTACTTACTTACTTACTTACTTACTTACTTACTTACTTACTTACTTACTTACTTACTTACTTACTTACTTACTTACTTACTTACTTACTTACTTACTTACTTACTACTGAAATCGTTTATTTTTGAAGAGTATGGTCACAGAGGCATTGAACAAATGATTACATTTAAACGTGTTCTTGTCTACGATCCTCCAAACATCTCAGTATCGTCGGCAGGGAACAGTAAGCATACCAATCTGTCCTGGCAGACCCGAATTCCTTTTCCGTTTCTCCTAGCAGACCATTTAATAACGTAACCTCTGTTGGCGAAAATTCTCTTCGCTTACTATTGGCGGTGTTTGCATCGACGTAACGAATAAACATGGGCTCCTGGCCCTTTGACGGACAAGAACTATCCTTCTGTCTGATCACCGAAGCACCCGGAGTAGTGCACGCAGTCGGCCAGGAGACATCTATTGGCATTTGTTTGGCCTTCTGGCACAGTCGCATTTACAAAGAACTCTGAACAGCGAGTGCGCCATCTTCGGATGTCAGCTCATTGACCAGCCGGCGGCGTTCTTCTTCAGTGGCAATCAACTATCTGGAGGTCACAACCTGACGTACAGTCAGAGTTGGAAAACTGCCACTAGTTGGTTAGCTTCTACTGATATCTCACAACTTTACTGGGCCCAGAAGACTAGGCGGATGTCCTGGTAACAACTCTTTCTGAAGTGACACAAACGAAGCCCGTTTAAGAATGTGTTGAAAGTTTCTATCCCATTTTTTTGTCCTAGGTTTTATATTTGTTAGCTTCATGATATTTCGACACGCGGACTTACACTACGCCAAGCTTGTGAATAGGTGTGCATATATGTAATACTCACTAGGATGACCTGGCAGTCGAAGACAAGACGGGAAATTTCGTCGATGCTATGGATAAGCCCCTATAACTTTCCTAGCTTGAACTGTTACTAGCATGCAACTCACCACACCAGATATCTGCTTCTGAACAGAGCCTGTATGGTCGCCTTCGTGATGAACCCCCCCCCTTTAGGCGGGGACCAACACACTCCAGTTACCAGTAGAAATTTGTCACATACATGCTTTTGACGAGCAAACTTAACTTTAAAAAATATTGACAATTTGAAAGATGGCAAGTTTGTTAGACAAGAAGAATTAATGACCGGTACTTTACTGTTCAAAATGTTATCATGGAAGCACCACCATTATGATAATTCTGATAACAAAAGCATCAATTATTTTCTTCTAGACGGACAAATTCACAAAAGCAAGTAATATTGGTTTTGCACTCCCACGTTCTCTGGGCAGATATACGCGTAACCTGCAAAACCATGCAGTCTCTATGGCACACCAAGTAATCCCCAACTTTTTTCAGGCCCCTCATTGTGTTTGTCTTGTTTCCATTTAATATGTCAAGATTTGGGCTATCTGTGCTATTACTAGTTCTACCCGAAGTTTAAGCGTTCATTCTAGGGATTAGGCGAAATATTAACCCTGAAAGATACAGGTTATTAGTACCGATTAGCTTTGTCTGGTAATATGTCATACATGTTAGGTTAGAAAAAAGCTCACAAGTATTATCGTTTACCAATACCAAACTTTGACTAGAATTCCCGATTGAGCAGAGGTGGACCATCACGCCACGTATAGCGACCACCTTATCCGTGCGGTGCAATTCTAAATTCGTTGCCTGACAAAGTTTTATGTTACTTGCACATGCTTTTCACTAGCCCTTAAATGCCAATGCAAGAAATTACAGAGTGAGTTCAGATGCGCTTTTACTATTTCGTCCCTTGGCAATCCAGCTGATTTATGTTACTTTCTAAGTAAAATGATTCTTTAAAAAAATTTGGGACCTAGTACTGTCAGCAAAACTATCATGTGCATCTTGTTTATAAAAACTGTGTATCCGTCTTCTTCTCGAACGCGTCTTTTTGAACTCTCCTGGATACTCATTGACTATCACTCATACGTAACCGAACGCTACAAAGCGATTTTAAAAAATTTCGTAATATATCTCACTTTTCAGTAGATGAACTCTCCGGATACTCATTGACTATCACTCATACGTAACCGAACGCTACAAAGCGATTTAAAAAAATTTCGTAATATATCTCACTTTTCAGTAGACACGAAGCGGATTTATGAGAAAACCACTTGCTACTCGCATGCTTCATCAGTAGTATCCACTGTTACACCCGTAGTTACCACTGTCTGCCACTTCATACCTCAAGTTGAATTGACCAGCTTTTTCGTCATACCCGTTCACGTGATAAACTGAAACCGCGAAATTCATCACTTTGGGTGGAAAAAACGAGATTAGTTGTGATTCCACAGGCCTTTTTTGGGTTTACCGTATTCAATGAAAAATAGGTGCCATGTTCCATGAACACCGCCCCACCACTACGCTCCACTATGCATCTTAATAACGCACTGGTGACGTCACCTCGATTGGGGATGGAACTTTTGCAATTAACTTGTCGAACTAAGCGAACAAAGACCATGTCCTAAAATTCTTCCCATAACAACTCTCACCATGATTCAAGTTATTTGATACGCATCACGAGTGTCTACCTTGAAAAAACTTTTGTTAAGATAAGACAACTCACTAAAATCCACGTGGATAAGTTTTTGGGTCAATTTTTGTTGATTTTTGGCAAAAAACCTAGTCTGTCACAAAATTTCTAATGTGCTTAAATATCCAAATATCCATCTAAACACCTCGGATAGAAACTCAAAAAAGGAGCCCCTGGAATGCTGCTAAAGTGCCAAAATTTGGGGTGTTCCCAGTCGAACACAGAGATGCTCAGAAAGGCCCTTTATCAGGAAGGTCAGATTCCTGAGAGTGACCACTGAATTCCCGAAACCTACTGAGACCCTCAACCCCACCATATGTCGACCAGACAGACAACGACCCTCAATATGCAGCGCGTGACAGCATTGGCCCAAGGTCAGACAGTGTCCCTCCGATAAAGTAACTAGGGGCAGTTGGATTTTCTCACTAACGCTCTCGCACCCGGTTGTTCGTAATAAAGCTGTTGTGTTCATTGTCGATGAGTCTTTCTCAGGCACTAGGCACTGGAGCGGGAACAGCAGGCAGATATAACAGACTGGTGACTCAGTCAAATATAACACCTCCAAGAAAATGGATCGAACCAATAGTACCCACGGTCTAACCAAACGCATTCACCCTAAAAATTTTGCCAAACGTGTATCTCTACCGTAACATCAAGGCTAAATGTCTTCATTTTGAAGTCAAATTTATTATCAATCACGCAACACATTAGAGGGTGGAGGATAGAAAATAACCAGCAGTTCAGACCAGCTTTGCACATTCTAATGGTTTAAAAGCGCGGTAAATAACCAATCTTATTTCAAACAGACGGCGTACACTACACTCACAACGTACACTTATTCGGTACAAGTCCATCCCTGCAGTTTTTTCCGCTACTGTTGAACTTGCTGGGATATTACTCCAAATTTAGCGGCGACACCCGTCAATAAAACGAAAGCATGGGTGTAGCCAGGAGGTGACCCGGAACAAGAGGATTCAAGCGGAATGAAATATGAGGAAGCATGTCCGCTGGAAGGAAGTACACAGATGAATGATCCTTCCCCATGTACCCAGTGACCACTTTGCATACGTTACAGGTTGATGTTTGCCACCTTTTTGGGCTGTGAAGAAAATAGATAACGCAAATCTCAAGAGGACAAACAAAGGTAAGGGGATAGACAGTATCTCTTAGAGGTTGATTCTTTTATTGTGGGTTTTAAATTCAGTAGTAGTAACTATGGCGAGTATGTTGCTCTTAGTAGTGATGGCAAAGCTTTTGTGCAGCATTCGGCACGTCCGCATTAACTGGATGGGTCTCTTCGGGGAAGATTACTGTGCATTGAGGCACACACTAACTTCGTCAGTTTCAACTTCTCCTGTCAATGAAAAAATGGGAAAATGAAAGGTTTTTATAAATCCAGTTGCATTTTGAAACCGAATGCCAATCCCGATTTTGATTGCTATTAACCCAAGTTTTGTGCGTAATCGATGATTATGTCGTTGGGCTGGAAATCCGGCAAGAGAAAGAAAGAGCGCCACGTTGTGCTGCTGGAGTGCACTGATGTTGGCCTTCATGTTTTTGCAGGTAAACTGGTAGAAGAGGCTATCACTCTGATTTGATTGTTTATCCTGGAGGATCAGGCTACCGGATGAGTCGCGAACGTTTTTACCGACTGACCGATTTTATGCTAGTTCTGGCCCCTAGTGGTCCTGTGCTGTATCGAAGCTGGTGCCCTCTACGGTTCTATTGGCCTTGCGTCGTTGGCCAACTGTTTGCATTTATTCGACTGTGTTCCGGTCTTATTCATGGATTAGTGAGTGACATTCCAGTTGGTTGTGGATGATTGTGCCTCTCAGATTTATCTTACCTTTCTTGTATCCTAACCTGCTGATATCTTCGCTCTTTCCCAACTGACTGTGTGGTCTTCTCAAGAGGCCCAAGAGAATGGGTCACGTTTTGTAGTGGCTAATTTAAGCAATTTGACAGCATACATAGATTATCCTAGTTGATTTGGATTAGCATATCTAATGCAGCTACTGAACAAATGGCTAGTTATTACATACATATGGACAATTAGTTTGAAGTTCGTGGTGCAGCAAAAACGACATTTTCATCTGCTTTGATTATATTCCTGTTATGAACACCAAATCTTTCAACGATTGATGCGTCAAAACAGTTTTCTTCGCAACCTTCCAAATTCTCGCTTGTTTGTAACAGAAACGTCTTTACCCGCCTCAAGCGTGACCACGAAAGAGCCAACGAGGCCAAGCTCTTCTATCAGTAAGTTCTCAACTAAGCGTGTGTGAGTGAAAAACTAAGGTCACAAGTAATTGACGGGTTTTCATAAAGGAAACTACTCACGAAGTTGCTGCAAACTCACCGACAGCCCACGACCGGTTTCGACTTTCATGAGGCTCATCAGGTAGGCGTAGTCCCCAAGTTTCCGTCAGCCTTACATTTTACTTGAACCAAAATTGAACTGTTTTCGAGAAATACACTAATTTGCAAATCAATTTGGTTTTCACGAGCGACTCAACTGAATCTCTCGTTTATGGTATTCTACAACTGAATGTCCTGCACACGGGCCACCTCATGTTTCAGTTGGCATGATATTCGAGATATCGAAGTATATTTTCATAAAGAAAACTACTCACAAGGTTGCTGAAAACTCTTCGACAGCCCACGACCGGTTTCACCCTTCTTGGGGCTCATCAGGTAGGCGCAGTCCCCGAGTTTCCGTACGGGTTATTTGTAGAAAAGGACGCATTTTATATTTAGAAAAGAAAATTTGGTAGCTGTCAAGCATTTAATCAAAAAGACTGCTAATATAGCGATTTTTCCAACTACTTCAGCTTGTTTTAAGTTAAAATGTGAAAGTTGGTGAAAAAAGAGACTTTGCTCTTTCACGAGAGATCACAAACCACTGTCGAGTGT